GAGGGTCGTAGTGCTCAGGGCTCCCCCTAGAAGAAGCATCTGGCTCCTTGGAAGAGGAATGATCCCACTGGTCTGGGGCCTGAGGCTGTAGGCACTGTGCAGGGCCCCTGAGCACAGCTGGCCTTGGCCACTTCCTGGGGAAGTTAGTGGAGACCTGGGGAGCAGAGGTGAGGCCTGGCTCACACTTGCTCCCTCTTGTGCTGCAGCCAAGCCAACATCCACAAGGATCAGACTTAGGACCAGAGGACTTGGCAGGCAGAGGAGACCTTTGCTGCCACCCGCAATGGGCCAGCCAAGGACCCTTGGGCCCCTGCTGCCTGTTCTCCCATTTCTCTCTCAGTTATATTGCAACCCACCCTCCCTGGGACCCAGCAAAAGCTGTTCCTGGCCTGGGAGGAAGTGATCTGATGCAGGGCACTGTGGACCTCCTGGGATGAGAGGGCACCTCAGTCACCCTGAGCAGGAGGATGTGGGGGCCCTGGGGTGGGTGGACCAGGGGAAATCATCCCTGGCCTCAGCCATCATTATGCTGGCAGCTCCCAGCAGGACTGCAGGGATGAGGGCTCCTTCTCCAGCCATCAGCAACATGGACACTGTGATTTCTGCTCCCAGGGACACCGATGCCTTCCTGGCAGCCACGGTGACAGGGCAGGGCCTACGCATCCTGGATGCAGAGGGTTCTTTGCAGAACAGAAAGGAGCATGGCACCATCCAAAGTCCTCAGAGCTGAGTTCCCAGGGCCCAGCATGGACATAAAGGTCAAGGGTGATGCTGCCCCTCAGGAGCATTTTGTGAGAATTTGACTGTGCAGCCTTGGCTGGGCACGAAGGAAATGTCCAGTGTGAACACAGGAGATCTCTGGAGAGTGAGGGTCTGGGGAACACCTGGGTTTCTGCACAGGTCCTGGACACTGTCCACATAAGCTGGGGACCTGCTGGCTTCCCTAGCACCACTGAATCTACATGAGGCCACATTCATACGTGGGCCCCAGAGGGGCTGCAGGGCATGACCCCTGGGGCCCAGGAGTTGGGGTCCTGGCTCAGTGACTCTCTTTCCTCTTCTTGGACAGCAGGGTGGTTCTGAACTGGAGTTGGTTTGAAGGTCTCTGTGACAAAGATGTCCTATGGGAGCTTGGTGGCACAGTGGGAACAGCCTGTGCTATGGGGCAGCTGTGGCTGGGCACTGTGGGAGTAGACTATACCGTGGGGTGGCTGTGGCTGGGCACAGTGGGAGCAGCCTGTGCCATGGAGTATCTGTGGCTGGGTGTGGTGGGAGCAGCCTGTGCCATGGGGTGGCTGTGGCTGGGCGCAGTGGGAGCAGCCTGTACAATGGGGTGGCTGTGGCCAGGTGCAGCAGCTGAGAAATGTCACAGCAGGACGCCGACAACAAGAGGGCTGCAGGAGCTCCAGGAGGGCGCCCAGTCCCCATGTTCCTCTGGCTGCTCTGCAGTCCCTGTGATGTCCCCCATCCTGGAAAGTCACTCCCATCCCCTGAGAAGATGACCCCAGAGTCACTTATGATCTGAAAGTTATCTTATCTTTGACAAAGGAGCTAAAAAGTTTTCTTGAAAAAGAAAAAAAATCTCTTTAAAAAATGGTTCCAGGAAAATTGGATCTCTATGTGGAAAAGTATGAAGCTACTTTACAACTTACACAAAAATCCATTTAAAATGGATCAAAGACATCAATATACAACCCAATACCTCTAAGTCATTGGGGAATCTCTGTAAAATATTGGAAGAGGCAAACACTTCTTGAGAAAGACCCCAAAAACACAGGCAATCAAAATCAAAGTTGACAAATGGAATTACATCAAGCTGAGATGCTTCTGATTGGCAAAAGAAACACTCAGCAAAGTGAAGAGGCAACAGATAGAATGGAAGAAAATATTTTCAAATTATGTAAGTGATAAAGGGTTAATATCTAGAATCTATAAATATATCAAGAAATTCAACAACAATACAAACAATCCAATTAAGAAATGGGCAATGGACTTGAATGGGCATTTTTGAAAAAAAAATCAAATGTCCCACACACAGTTAAAAAATGTTCAGGACAGGATCACTAAACATTGTGGAAATGCCAATCAAATCCCTAAAGTTAGAATGGCTCACATACAGAAATCAACAAATATCAAGTGCTGGCAAGGACACAGAGAAAAAGGTATCCTAATCCATTGTTGGTAGGAATGCAAAAGGTCCAGCCACTATGAAGACAAGAAGATACCTCAGAAATTGAATAAAAACCTAAAATAGGATCCAGCCAACTCACTCCTCAAAAATTAAAAGAAATCAGCATATGAGAGAGTTATGTGTATCCCCATGTTCACTGAAGCTCAATTAACAATAGATAAGATATGGAATCAACCCTGATGTCCATCAGTTGAAAACTGGATAAAGAAATTACGGTATATATACATTATGGAGCACTACCTAGTAGTAAAAAAAAAAAAATGAAATCCTGTATTTTGTAATAAGATGAATGCAACTGGAAACCATTATACTTAGTGAAATCAGGCAGTCCCAAAAAGACAGGTATCATACATCTTCCATGATCAGTGATAACTACAATAAAATGTATTTGAATAAAATGGACATTTTGAGATTTTTTGATTTGTTAGAGCTCTTGTCTGCTTTGTTAAATAGCAATGTATTTTTCTTCATACGATTTGCTGAGCTTTTATTTAGTATAGGGTTAAACAATTTAGTATAACAACCTTTATGAGTGAGTATAAAGTAAACTGAAAAATGATCTTTGTAAAAATTAAGTGTGGGAATAGGTGAGGGAGGAGAAGAGTTGGAGCATGAGCAGGAGGGAGGGTAGGATGGAAGTGTCACTATTTTTCTTATTTCTATCTCTCTCTACATATATATGAAATACATGAAACCTGTATAAATTAAATAAAATTTAAAAAATTGTTTGGAAATTAAAAGGGTACAATCAAATGACCCAACTTATGGGTCTTAGGAGTTCCTGAAGGAGTGGAGAGAATGGTTTAGACAGCATTTCCATAAAATAATTACAGAAAAATGCTCCAATTTGGAGAAAGAAAAGAATGTCCTAGTATGGGAAGCACACAGAACTCCTAATAGTCATGAGCAGAAAAGATCTTCACTGCAGTGCATTGCAGTCAAACTTTCAACAATAAAACATAAAGAAAAGTTTCTAAGTTCTGCATGAGAGAAATGCCAGATTATTTTCAGAGACATTCCAACTAGACCCACAGCTGACTTCTCATCAGAATCTCTATTGGCTAAGGAAGAATGCAGATACATAGTCCAAGTTTTAAGAGAAAAAAATGAAAACAGAGAATACCAGACTCTGCAAAGCTAACACTTATGAATGAAGGTGAAATAACGACCTTTCATAACAAACAGAAATTGAATTTGTCATCATTCATCCAGCCTTATGAAACATGCTTCAGGATATGCTACACACAGAAATACAGGAAGATACTCATCATTATGAAAAAATGGGAAGACAAAAAATCTCCCAGTAAAGTACAAAAGAAATCTGAAGTAAACAATAGGAGTATGTAGGGAAAATCTCGGGGCCATGTCATTACTTATCAATAATAACCTTGAATGAAAGGGCCTCAGTTCTCCAGTTAAAAGATATAGACTGGTTGAAAAGATTAAAAACCAAGACTCACCAAGATGTAGCTTTCAAGAATCACACCTCACCAACAAAGACACACACAGAATGAAACTGAAAGAATGGAAAATGATATTTGATGCTAATGGAAAGCAAATAAGAGCAGTTATAAAAATCCTAATATCAGACAAAATAGACTTAAAAAAAACCTGTTAAGAGCAATTGAGAGGGACACTATATAATGATTAAGGGATCAACTCAACAGGAAACTGTGACTACAGTAAATGAATATAAGTCCAATTATAAGGTACCTGGTACCTTATAATACCTGGTACCTTATAATACTTTAAATACCTGGGTATTTAAAAGAAATATTAATGAGTTCAAAGAGAAGCAAAGACTACAATAGTAATGGAGGACTTTGACAAGCCACTTTCATCAATGGACAGATCTACTTACAGAAAATCAACAAAGAAATGACAGTTAATTGAACCAGGGACCAAATGGATCTAACTAAAATCTGCAAAATTTTTCATTCCATAGTTAAAGAATACTCATTCTTTTCATCAGCCCATAGGACTTTCTCTAGAATAGATCATATGCTAGGCAATAAAGCATATCTCAACAATATACCATGCATCATCTCATACCACAAAGGAATGGGGTTGGAAATCAAGAACTCAAGAAGCTCCAGAACATATGTGAATACATGGAGGATGAACAACATGCTCATGAATGAATAGTAGGTAACAGAAGAAATTTTAAAAATAAAAAAATCCAGTAACAAATGAAGATGATAATATATCAAAACTTATGAGATGTAACAAAAGCAGGGTTAAGAGAGAAATTTATAGCAATTGGTGCCTACATCAATGAATTGGAAACATACCAAATAAATAAGCTATCAATGCATCTCAAGGACCTAGTAAAGCAACAACAAAACAAACTCCAAATCATTAGGAGGAAATAATTAATATTAGGGAAAAATAAACATGATTGAAACCAAAAATACAAAAGATCAGCAAGATGAAATCAAAACAGCCTGGTATTGGTAAAAAAAAGAAAGAGAGAGAGAGAGAGAGAGAGAGAGAGTGAGATGTAGACCAATGGAAGGAGTAGAAACTTCAGAAATCATCCATGCATCTGCAACTAACTGATCATTGACAAAGGAGCTAAAATAAATCCTTGAATCAAGGGCAGTCTCTTCAACAAATGATGCTGGGAAAACTGGATCTCCACATACAGAAGTATGAAACAAAACCCCTACTTTACACCTTACACAAAAATCCATCCAACATGGATCAAAGACCTAAATCTATGATATGACAAAATACCATCAAATTACTAGAGTATACATTGGAGGAACTCTGCAACACATTGGCAGAGGAAGAATCTTATTGGAAAGATCCCCAAAGCACAAGCAATCAAAGCCAAAATTGACAAATGGGATTACACCAAGTGGAGCAGCTTCTGCCCTGCAAAGAAAAAACTCAGCCAAATGAAGAGGCAACTGACAGAATGGGAGAAAACATTTGCAAACTAGTAATCAGAATACACAAAATGTCAAGAAATATAACAAGAAGAAAACAAATAATCTGATTAAAAAGGGGACAAAAGTCTTGAACAGCCTTTTTGTCAAGAGAGGAAATTCAAATGGCAACAAACACATAAAATAATGTTCAGGATCACTAGCCATTAGAGAAATGCAGATCAAACTACAATGATGTTTCACCTCACCGCAGTTATAATAGCTCCAATATAGAAATCAGCAAACAACAAATTCTGGCCAGGATGAAGGAAAAAAATCCTTAACTATCCTAATCCATTGTTGATGGGAATGTAAACTGGTGCAGTTACATTAAAAAAAAAATCATTATATGAAAAATTTATCTGTACCCCCATGTTCAATTCAACTCAATCTACAAGAGCTAAGATATGAGATCAACCCAGATGTCCATCAGTTGAAGACTAGATAAAGAAAATGTGGTATATATAACCAAGGAATACTACACATGTTCAAAAAAAGTGATATCCTGTTGTCTGAAAAAAAAGGATGCAACTGGAAATCATTATACTTAGTGAAATAAGCCAGTCACCAAAAAAAAAAATCATATATTATTTCTGATCTGTGGTAAGTAAGAGTACCTAAAAAGTAATCTATAGGAAGGAAGTTGACGTTTTTAATTCAGTGATTTTTCTTAAAGAACTGTTTTATTTATTTGAAAGACAGATTTAGAGAGATAAGAGCCAGAGAGAGGTGTTCCATTCCACTGGTTCACTCCCAAAATGACTGCAATGGCCAGAACTGAGCTGATCCAAAGTCAGGAGCCAGGAGCCTCTTCCAGTTCTCCCACGCAGGTACAGTGGCCCAAGGACTAGGGCCATCTTCTACTGTTTTTCCAGGCCACCACCAGAGAGCTGGTGGAAAGCAAGACTCCAAGCCAGAAAATGTGCAATCACTTGGCATAAGAAATAATGCCATCATCAGTCAACAAACTAACCAATACCTCTTTCAATAGAACCCATAACTCATGTAGGAAATGAACTCCAAAACAAAAATTCAAGGAATTAGTGGATTTCTGACAATAACTGTTCTCTCCCTGTCCCTGAGGATTGTTTGTAAATAAAATATATCACAATGAACTTTAGAAGAAAGAAATTTATTGAGGCATCAGTGATTAGAAACATTGGAAAAGCAAAAATGACATAAAACAAATAAACCAAAAGAATCATATTCCATCCATATTTAAGAAATGGCTTCCAGAGGCACATCACATTATTTATATTCCAACAATGATAATTATAAGAAAATAATTTTCATCTTTTAATACTTAGATATGGATCAGGGAGCTAATTGATCCATCTGTTGTTGACCCTACTAGCAAGTTTCTGTCAAGTTTCCCAGATATGATCAGTTTTTTTACTTCTACCACCATTTTGTGCTCATGTTTCATGAAATTCCAGTCACCTCCAGGTTGGCAGCAAGAGAATCTGGTTACCTATTGTTACTGTCAAAAATGTTCCAAGCTTAATGACTTAAAAAAAGGAAACTGTATACTGTTACTATTTGAAGGATAAAAGTGAAATCACTCTCTCTGGCTCAAACTGAAATGCAGGGAGTAAGGTCTGTGCTCCAGCCAGTATCTACAGAATAATCTTTTCATTGCCAACTCCAGCTTCTGGTAGCCTCTGTCTTTATGATTATATCACTTTCATCTTTGCCTTCATGATCACATTGATTTTCATTTTCTTTGAGTATAAACCTCCTTTTGCCTTTGGATTGTGAGCACACATGTGATTCCAGCCAGGACTACATGGAAAACCCCAGTTAACACAATCCAAAGGTCTTTAACACAATCACATATATAAAATATTTGGACATAATACTCCCACCTTCCATAAGAAATGCACCAACTTAGTTGGGGGCCTAGAAAAAGTCCTCAGCCATACAATATTACGGAAAATTAGTTCTGAGTAAGATGGAAGCCAACCCAGACAAAATAGCAGTCCAGCAAATTACTTGACCACACTGAAACTGCCAACAGCCACACCATTCACTTTCTTTTAAATTTCTGATTATACTAAGATTTGATTTGATGAAGACTTGAAAGAAGCTGAAGCACTTGAACAGGGACAATGAGCTTTGCCCAATGGGCAGAAATGGAGGTAGAAGGATGATATACAGGATTGTCCTCCAGATGGGAAATAAAAGAGACATTACAGTTAGATGATATCATAGCATTTGTAGCCCATCTATCATGGAATAGTCATGCAACTTGGGTAGACTGTCCATCCTAAGTGTATCCTGAGGTCTGAACTGAATGTAAATCTGATTAAAATCCAGAAAGGACTGTATAAATTGGGAAAGGAAGAAAACACACATTTTCAATAAAACTGAGGGTCACTTTTAGCAGTAGGGAGTAATACAACTCAAATCCTTGTCTCTGGGCAAGAAATTAAAGGAAGAAAAGAATAAAATAGGGGATCATAAATGAAATATTTCAAAATGGATTGCACACTCAGTAATACAGGAAAATTTAGGAGATAAAGTCTTGCAATTTATAGGATTTGAGATACTCCCATTATAGAATGAGGGTGATGTGTGCAAAAACTTCTACTTGAATATACAAACAGACCACAGGTAGTATAGTCTAATCCAGAAATGCACACATATAACTTGGAAGTTCACATGAGTATACAGGTGACCACATGCTCATTCCCTATACTGGATGAAACACTCATCACCCAGGGCTGGAGTACAGAATTATGGCTGGAACATGTGTCAGTTCATATGCCTATGGTCATATCACTTATTTGTACTACAATACTACAATGATGTGGAGAAAGAATCCTAGGCAGGCAATAACACTGCTATACAACAATAACTTTGCAATTGGTAAAGATATTCCAAGTAACTCTTACAATAACTGTTGAATCAACTGTTGCAACTGTTGAATATTTGTTAGCAAAATTTACACATGGAAGCATGGTTAGCCCATCTCAGTCACAATTCATCATGTGAATTGCCTAACACTTGATGAGGTGTGGTTGTATCTAAGAATTCTTCTAGACACATGACATTTTCAGAGACTTCTCCCTGTAATCTTGCTAAATTTTGCAGAAGCTTGCCTTACAGTTAAGGTTTTTCCAATTGCATTACAGTCAAAGGATTTTCCTTTTGCTGAGCTCTCAGTTAACTATTGAGAGATGACTTATGGTAATCTCATTTCTGAGTCACTTCTTGTGAACTGAAGACTGATATTTTAAAGCATTCCTTATATTTTTTTTTCTTTATGGATTCTTTGCTATCTATTGATATCTAATTTCTGGCTGAAGGTTTTCTCATATTTACTGCATTTGAAGGTTCCTCTTTTATGAATTCTGTACCAATGTAAGCATGAATCCCAGGAAAATACTTTTCTACACTCATTACACTTGTAAGAAACCCCCTGTGTGAATTCTTTGATTATAACAATTGATTTCTGATGAATGGCTTTTTTCACACTAATAACATTCATTAGCTTTCTCCCTTACATGAGTCCCAATTGTATGGGGGCATGGTTTCTAACAAAAGGCTTTGTCACAAGATTACATTGCTTTTGGGAAAAAGCTCTTCCATGTTCAGTATATTCTTAAACTCTTTCCTTTGTTTGAATTCCATGATGTGTTGTGAGGCATTACTTCTGACAAAAGGATCTCTTACATTTATTACATTCAAAAGTTTCTGTGAATTCTCTGATGTTATAAGGTGTGATTTTGGCAAAGAGCTTTCCAACATTCATTACATTCATAAGGTTTTTCCCCATGTAATGTCTGATGTCTTAAGAGGTATGACTTCCAGATAAAGGCTTTTTCACATACATTACATTCAAGAGGGTTTTCTCCTATATGAATTTGATGATATGCAATTAGGGTTGAATTATAGTTAAAAAGTTTGAGTCATTACATTCATAAGTTTTCTTCCCTGTGTGAATTCTCTGGTGCATTGAGTTCTCACTTATTGCCAAAGGCTTTTCCACATTCATTACATTCATAAGGCTTCTCCCCTGCATGAATTGTCTGGTGTTCAAGGAGGTCTGATTTTTGGCCAAAAGCTTTTCCATTAGTCATTAGCTTAATAAGGTTTCTCACCTGTGTGAATTCTCTGGTGTGTAGGAGTTGTGCTTTTTCATAAAAGGCTTTTTCAGTCATTACACTCATGACAATTCTCTCCTTTGCTAATTCTCTGACACACTGAGTTGTGACATATTTCCAAAGGCTTTTCCTCAGTCATTACATTCATAAGGTTTCTCCCCTGTGTGAGTTTTATGATGTATTACTAGGCTTGCCCTCAGGAAAAAGTATTTTCCAGCCATTACATTAATAGGGTTACTCTCCTGTGAGACTTCTGATGTCTGCCAAGGTTCGGCTGATTGCCAAAGGCTTTTCCACAGTCACTACACTTATAGGGTTTTTCACCTGTGTGAGTTCTCTGATGCGTTATGAGGTTTGACTTCTGGCCAAAGGTTTTTCCACAGTCACTACATTCATAAGGTTTCTCACCTGTGTGAGTTCTCTGATGCATTCTGAGGCTTGACTTCTGGCCAAAGGCTTTGCCACAGTCATTACATTCATAAGGTTTCTCCCCTGTGTGAATTCTCTGATGCATTATTAGGCTTGTCTTCTGGCCAAAGGCTTTTCCACAGTTATTACATTCATAAGGTTTCTCCCCTGTGTGAATTCTCTGATGTCTAATGAGGTCTGGCTGATTGCCAAAGGCTTTTCCACAGTCATTACATTCATAAGGTTTCTCCCCTGTGTGAATTCTCTGATGAATCATTAGGTTTGATTTGTGGCCAAAGGCTTTTCCACAGTCATTACATTCATAAGGTTTCTCTCCTGTGTGAATTCTCTGATGCATTATAAGACTTGATTTCTGGCCAAAAGCTTTTCTACAGACATTACATTCATAGGTTTCTCTCCTGTGTGAATTCTCTGATGAATTATGAGGCTTGACTTCTGGCCAAAGACTTTTCCACAGTCATTACATTCATAAGGTTTCTCTCCTGTGTGAATTCTCTGATGAATTATGAGGCTTGACTTCTGGCCAAAGACTTTTCCACAGTCATTACATCCATAAGGTTTCTCCCCTGTATGAATTCTCTGATGCATTATGAGGTTTGACTTCTGGCCAAAGGCTTTTCCACAGTCAAAACATTTATAAGGTTTCTCCCCTGTATGAATTCTCTGATGCATTGTGAGGTTTGACTTCTGACCAAAGGCTTTTCCACAGTCATTGCATTCATAAAGCTTCTGCCCTTTGTGAATTCTCTGTTGATTACTGAGGTCAGATTTGTTCAAAAAGTCTTTTCCATAGTCATTATATTCATGAAGTTTCTCCTCTGTGTGAATTCTCTGTTCTGTTATGAGGTATGGTTTTGGGAAAAAGGCTTTTCTACTATCAATACACTCATGAGGTTTCATCTGTATGTGAATTTTCTGTTGTCTAATGTAATCTGACTCCTGGTGAGTGGTCTCTCCACATTCAATACACATATTGGGGTTTCCCTGTGTGAGAGTACTGTGATGGATGCTATGGCAGGAATTACAACTGAATGATTTTTCACAGGGTTTACCTGCACAGGGTTTTTTCTCCAAATGCGGTCTCTGATTTATGGCAAGATGTGATCGGTAAATAATAGGCTCCACATACCTAACATATTCATAAAATTTCTCTCTTGTGTGGGTTTGTTGATGTGTACTGAGGTTAGAGCTTTCGTGGAAAGCATTTACTATTTGAGTTGCCTTTCCAACAGTGATAGCTGACTTATTACAGGTTTCTCCCTTACAAACCCTCTCAGATTTACAGAACATCTTCCTTGTGAAGACTTTCCCTTGTCCAATATGCTCAGATGTCTGCTTCACAGTCTGAATCTTGTGACACTGACTAAGAGGCTCATAGAACTGGAGAGAGTTCCCAGGCACCTTAGTGGCATCAAATTTCTCTTCAGCTTGCAGTTGATCAGACCCACTTTGGGGATACACATTGTGACATATATTGCATTCTTTGGGTTTCATTCTTAAATAATTTCTCTTTCTGATAATTAGTTTGGGAATATGGCTTGAAATTAAATTAAATATTTTTCTTAATTCAACTATCTTTGGAGTTGATGTCTTGTTATTTTTCTTGACATTAAGATTCAGACTTTTGTCCTGACATTCCTGGCTGTTGCTAACCAGGTCATCCCTTTTCACAGCAACTGAAATGAGAAAAAAACAAACAACCACTTCACTGAATCACATATAACTTTCTCCTTGCTAACTTATGTAAATGGAAAGTTACTTTGTATTCAAATGGCATAAGATATTAACAAAATTAATATGAGAAACTTAGTTATGGTCATTATATGGTTTTGCTCCTTAATATATTAATATATTGAATTGCATCAATAGGTCTCCCAAAGTTCAATCACGATCTTGTTCACTACCTGAATTCTGTTCAGGTATGGCAGAATGGCTTTTGTGGTAAGATGTATTAACCCTGCTTGGGATGCCTGCACCCAAAAGCAGTGCCGGTTTGAGACCAGACTCCTCTGCCTCCAATACAGCTCTGCTTTGAATACAGCTCTCTGCTTATGTAACCTGGGAGGCTGCAGATGATGGTTCATGTGCTTGGGACCCTGTGATGCACCAGAGAAGACGAGATAGAATTCCAGACTATTGGCTAAAGACTAGTCAGACCTAACTGTTGCAGTCATTTCTGGAGTGAGTTAAAAGATTTCTCTCTCCTCTCATTTTCATTCTGCTTTTTACAGAGATGAAACAACTACACAAGATTTCAATGAATGGACAAATATTTAGCAAAAATTTTCACCCATTGCCTAGCAACAATTTTTTTCCTTGTGCTTTTGCTACAGTTTATATTTATAAAAATTGTGTACTTTGTGCTTCTCTAATATTTCAGGCAGAAATATGAGAAAGTTTTACTGGATCATTTACTTTAAGGTGAAGAAGAATGAAATGTGCTTGTATTCTAAACAGGACCACATTTAAGGAACAGTATTTGAATGTATGATTGCCTCATGTTCAGTCTTCCCCAGGAAATAGCATTTGTAGGATTTTTCAAATGAAAAACTCTTTTGTTTCCACTTTCTGACAGCTTCCCCATATTCCTAAGTAAATCTGACATCTTCAGCATCTCATATTTGCTACTGGTACAGAAAAGCCACAGTATACTATCTTGGGTATAAACTTCCTACCAATTTAAAGAATATGTTTCTACAACCCAGGGTGTGTTCACTTTTTTGAAGTCTTTGCTAACTCATTCTGAAAACACCAACTGTGGTTATCTCCTCTCAATTCTTTCTATAAACATTCCTCTGTGATAATTTGAGTTTCTGGAGGCTTTTGATTAATTGTCTCCTATTTCCACAGAAAACTCCATTTCCTATGCTGTTTTGTCATTTTCTTGTTTCTCAATGACAATGAAAAATAAGAATTCATAATTCAAACTCTTCTCCCAAACAAATCTGAGCCATTCAACATGAATCTATAATGTTAGTTGACCTTGGAATTGAGAAACTCATGAATTTCTTGGTGAGTCTAGGATCACTTATTTTCATGTTCCTATACAAGTTCATGCTTAGCTTTATGATTTTTGATGTCACAGTACAGAGGCTTACTCCTGATCATCTTTTAGCATTTACTCATTTATTTACTTCAAAGCCAAAGAGACAAAGATTGAGGCACAAAGAGAATAAAAGAGAGGGTTGCCAGCCACAGGCTCACTCCTCAAATGTTTCCAACAATCTATCATTTTCTTATTTATTTGAGAGGCCTAGAGAAAAAACAAAAGGAAAAAGAGACAAAGAAAGAGAGCTCACAATTATTGGTGCAGTTATAAGATGCTTAAAATAGCAAGGTCTGTGCCTGGCCAAAACCATTAGCAATAAGTAAGAAAAAAGTTTCTATAACTGTGCAATTAGCAACCACTGAAGGAATTAATAAATGCATGAAGGAAAAGATATGAAAGTGTGGAGAATGACAAGTTAGAATTTATAGAATGAATCTAACCTGGAAAAAAGCCTTAGTAACACCAGAAAAGCATTGGAATTTTTTTTAATTAAAAGAACATCTTCACCAAGAGAAAAAGAGACAGACATTGGTATCCCTAGATATTCTAGAATACCAAATATACAAATCCGGCTTTCATCAGGAGAAAGATTTAAGAAAAATTCATGGAAAGAACACCAGTCAGCATCTGATGCACTGCTTCTACTTTGGCCTCCCTGCCCATTATGTGCAGACTGACCTGGAAGACTCTGATGTAGGCATTCTTCTCCCATCCAGGGCTCTGCTCCTTGCTCCAACTTCAAGATCAAGTCAGGTTTGGTCATGCAGTGCCCTATTAATGGAAACAATGTCAGATTTTGTGAACTCACAATCTTGGGTTATTTAAGACTACAGCTTGGTCCAGGTGCTCTGCAACAAAGGTACCAATTTGAACCCTTTCTTGATGTTAGAAATTCAGATTATTCATGTTCTCAAATTCTACACCTTCCAAACATTATACTTTATAAAGTGCTTATTTATTTGTCAAAGAGCAAAAAAATGTTACCATTGGGAATGTGATGGGTGTCACTCACCCAAGGAGAACAGGATGCTGTAGGTCTCCAGCATCACATCCCTGTACAAGATTTTTTGAGCATTATTCATGTTCTGCCATTCTTTCCAGGTGAAATACACAGCCAGGTCTTCAAATCCTATCATCACCTGCAATGGAACACTTCCAGTCAACATATGAACTCTGTCACAAAACAAACACTGAAAGTTTTATATCTTGTATACAGGTTTGAAGGAAGAAGGAAGGATGTGGTTTCATTTTAGATTTGAGCATTTGGACAACCACATTAGAAGCATTAAACAGGGAGTCAAACTATTGTCTGAAAACTGTGAAAAATGCCCAAGCTAGAGGGAAAGAGGACTTTCAGATCAAAAGGGCTACATCTGTCAAGGGGATTACATAACAGGCTGAAAGGGGGATAATACTGACTTTTGAGTGAACAATGTTAAAGTGAAGAATTTAGAAGTATGTAGGGAAAAAGACAAGAGCCTATCAGTGAAGCTTTAATGAGAATGAACACAGAAGAATTTCCAGGAAAACATCATCCACAGTCACTTCAAATATGGCAGAGGAGAAATAATTCAAAGGGAGGGCAGGCATTTAGTTTAGTGTTTATGACGCCAGCTGAGAAACCCTACTTCAGAGTGCCCAGGTTGGATTTCCAGTGCCTGTTCTAGTTTCCAGCTCCCAGCTAATGCAGAACTGGGGAAACAGTAGTGATGCCATCAATGAGGCATGCCTAGACTCCATTCCTAACTCCTGGTTTCAATCCTGCCCACCTCTGCTTGGTATCATTATTTAGGGAGTGAATACATGCATGGGAGCTCTCTCTCTCTCTTTCTGTCCATTAACTTCTTCTGCTATCAAGTTCATAAATATTTTTAAATAAGAGAGAACATTCATTTAAGACAGACAATAGAAAATAGCTTTTGGCTTTGTCTATGACTATTCTACTGATGAACATCTGAGGAACTGAAATAACATTATGTCAAATTAAAGGAAAAGAATGGAATTATTTGCCCAAAAACAGTACTTGGGGAAGTCCACACTACAATCTGCATTTCTGACTAATTGAGAGAAATGCATAAAGATTTGTTTAAGAAACTGCAGTAGGCACCAGCAATGTGATGTAGCAGGTTAAACCTCCATCTGCAATTCTGTCATCCCTTGTGAGCTTACAATTTGAGTCCTGCCTCTCCATTCCAACCCAGCCCCATTGCTGATATACCTGAAAGAGTACTGAAAGACAGGCTGAGTATTTGGGCCCCATCCCCTAATATGGGTGACCAAGATGGAGTCCCAGGCTATTGGTTTAGCCTGACCCAGTCCCAGCCATTGTGGCCATTTGGAAAATGGAGCAGAAAGATGGAAGATATCTTTTTTTCTCTCCCCCCAGTCTCTCCCAATCTATGTAACTTTGCCTTTCAAAAAATAAATAAATAAATCTTAAAAATACAAAATAACCTGCACTAGACTCTTTTTCCCACATTTTGGATCCTATACCTGAATCAAGTTCATCTCTTCAAAACTATTAAAGACTGCATTACTCTAAAAATTCAGAAACGAACTTAACTGATCTGTGTTTTAGTACCAGGCAATTTTTACCTTTGTAGAATGCTAACTGTTTATTTTCAGAGTAGCACTAAAACACTGACCACTACATCATGTATGTGACAATAAAGACAGTTTTTGACATCATGATCCAAAAAATTTTGGATATTTTGCACTGAGGTTTAACTCAAACATGTAATATATATTTTGTCATGGCAACAGAAAGAAAAGAGACCAAATTGCCCTATCTTAGATGAATGCAATGTTTCATAATCATGCCACATTTGTCATTCATCTTATTTGTGGATATTCTCTGAGAATAAAATTATGTTTATTTTCCTTTTTAATTAATAAACAATTATAGATTTCCTAAAATAAAAACTGACTATAAGCTGAGGAATAATTAAGAAATCCGCTTCCAGGTGATGTATTTTCTTTGCTCTTGGAAATATGTGAAGGTGCCCAGAGTCACACCTGGAAGAGAAAGCACTGTAAACAAATTTTGTAAAATAATGAGATAATAGTAAAAAAAAAAACTGTAAGGGCAACTACTCAAATAAAGGAGGTTATCAAAGAGATAAACATTATGTTGTCACTAAAATTTATTTTTTTAAGATTTTATTTATTTGATGAATGCAATTTTTACATAGATACAACTTTAGGAATACAGTGGTTCTTTCCCTCATGCCCCCTACCCTGCTCCCTTCCCACCTCCCATCGCCTTCATTATGGATAATTTTTAGTATGACTTTATATATAGAGGACCATCTCTATGTTAATCATAGAGTTCAACAATTTGCCCCCACACCCACACACAATATAGAGTACAGTTTGGGGAGAGAATCTGCAGTTGATTCTCATATTGCAATTCATTAGGGACAGATGTCCTACCTGGGGAGCAAGTGCACACTGACTACTATTGTTCCTTTAACAATTAACACTCTTTTTTTATGATGTCAGTGATCACCCAAGGCTCTTGTTGTGAGCTGCCATGGATATGGAGGCCTTTCATGACCATAGACCCTGTCGTTATTTGGACACAGCCATTAGCAAAGAGAATGTTCCCCTCTCCCTTCAGAGAAGAGTGTCTCCTTCTTTGATGACTCTTCCTTTCCTCTGTGGTCTCGCAGAGATCCTCCATGTAGGTTTTTTTTTTTTTCTTTTTCCACAAAGTCTTGTCTTTCCATGCCTGAGATGCTCTTTCAGGCCTTTCAGCCTTTCACTAAAGTTTGCACTAAAGAAGTTATTTTGAATTTACTCTTTTTCTATGATTTCAAAAGTACCATACAGGATTCCATATATGTGTGTACACTAGAAAACTTCTTGTATTTTTAGACCTGAAAGTCTATAGAAAGTATGTAACTTACACTTCATATTTTTGGCCAAAATTGCATTGGAACAACCATACATAATATATATTTAATGTAGTATACTTTTCCAGAAATGATTTCAAATAACATCATTCCCTGTATCCATCCCTTCACAAGACCTTGGATTTCACCATTTCACTTCCTTCACCTATGAGACATCAGGACATGCGAGAAGCACACATTGTAAAGCATTTGCCTTCTCAGGTTTTCCTTTTTGACACAGTTATCTTCTGGAAAACCCTGGGGCCTGCTTGTGGAAGAGGTAAGATCTAGCCAAGATTCACTACAAAGTACCATTTGAGTGACTGCTCCCTTTCCAACTTCCTGCAAAATCACATACTGAAAAACACCTCCCAGGAAGCAGTGCCTCAAGTAGGTGAAGGCCTTTGAGCCATATCAGAAATTTGAATTGAGTTATTTTTAAACAAAATTACTTATTTGAAACACACACACAGAGAGAGAGAGAGAGAGAGAGAGAGAGAGAGAGAGAGAGAATCTTCCTTATCCCACAAACTTCCAACCTAAATTCACCACAAATGTGCTCAGTTTCAGTAGACATGCTTACTGTGGACATGACATGTAGTGGAAGATGGGATCTATGTGTTCCCTTGACAAATACATAGCCTCCATCATTCAGATAGGACAGGGCACTACCTCTCAGCCACATTCACCCAGAACGTATTCTTGGCAACAGGTAACTGGAGTCAGAACAAATGACGACGCCTTGCCCTTCAGTTGGTGGCAGAGACGAGAGGGTTCCTGATGTTTCTATTTCATTGTGTCACAACAGGGGATAAGAAAGCAGACCAGGTTTCAAACAGCACCAAGTCTCTTTGCTCTTACTTTCTGTGGTATTTCTTTACTTCCCGTATGTCTTTGGGAGTTTACAAGAATAGCTTCTTATTTAGATTTTAAGTAATCCTCATCAATACTAAAAAATGTGTCCCCACTGCTACACACTATCATTTCCAAATTCTATGAATCATTCAATTTTAATGCTTATATGCTTAATTATTAATTATATTTGTAATTGCCACATACTAATGACAAATTAGCTTAAAAGAATTGAACTCAATAAAATGTAAGTCTCATAACTGATCCATGATATTATTTCTATGTTTTGGAGGCTTTGCAGAGGTTGATTACATGTGCCACTAAAATGCAAATTCATGTCCACTAAACTGGTGAAATCCAGTGCATGTTTTGAAAAACACACATAGTGATAAATTTGGAAAAGCTGTAAAGTACTACAAGTGGTTGTCAAAGAGCTGAAAACCCCACAATGACTCACTATGTCATTAATTTAGTATCTAGTGCTGAGAAAATCAGAAGTATTTGTGAAAATTTTGCTACAATGCATTACATTTATGATTTTCATGATCTACCTTTTCTATGTATAATGTAGTCCTGTGCTAGCTTTGAGTAACCAAAATTTAAAATGTGAAGGTTTTTCAATATTTTATAAAGATTTATTTTTTATTTGAGAAGCAGCTATGGACATAAAGAAGGAGAAGCAGAAAGAAGGGTCTTCTATCCACTGGTTCGCTCCCCAAATGGCCACAATGGCTGGACCTGGGATGATCCAAAGCCAGGAGAGAGGAACATCCTCTAGGTCTGCCACATGGTTGCAGGGGCCCTAGAGTTTGGGCCATCTTTCACTGCTTTCTTGGCCATTACCAAGAGCAGAACTGGAAGTGCAGCAGCTGGCACTTGAATTGGCACCCATATGGGATTCTGGTGCTGCAGTTGAAGACCTAACATACTATGCCACAGCATTAACCCAGTGAATGGTTTTGGGAAGACATTCTTCATGTAGCATAGCCTGTAATAATGAAAGGTAAGATTTAGGTTTTATTTTCCACACATCAGTATTTATCTTTTAGCAACTATAAATATTGAATATCATATATATATATATATATACACATATTTTTGTAGTTGCAGATTCTGTTGTCATTCTTTCCAGTACTCTTTTTAATGGTTTGCTAATTTGCCACCTTATGGTTATTATATTGATGTTACCTATAGGTAGCAATCATTAGGCATTTCCACTGTAGTATGTATTTATATGTGCAAGATTCTTTATTTCTGTGTGTGTGTGCATGCATGCACAACTTTCAATGGAGTTAGTACTGAAAGTAATACTGTAAGAATCCTAACACTCATTTCAAAATCTCTATCCTCCCCAGAGATGGCTGTCTGTGAGTCAGACCATGTAGCCCCTTTAAGTGTTATAGACTGAAATGTACCACCCTAAAACTCATACCTTTAAGTGCTAACTGCCAATATGACTCTACCTGGAGAAATTGCTTTTGAGCAGATCAACTAATATATATGTGAGGTCCATTGACAGAAAGTCCTCTAGAAAAAAATCAAGCTTGTTATGACTTTGACCTTCTGTCTTCAATCTCCACAACTCTGAAAAGTAAATTTCTCTGATTAAAATCACACTATCTGTGGTATTTTGTTAGCAAACTAATACAGCCTCATTTCTGCAGTCATTTCCTGCAGTCACCTAGAAGGTCCCCACAATTATCAGGGAAACATAGAAATTGAAACTATGACTTCAGTTGGCCGAACATCTAGAAACACAATAAAGATATCAGATAAGTACCCTACTATCCTTCTCAATGACCCAGAAAAAACAAGAATGAGTCAAATCCAAGGGCAGTAAAAAAGTGAATAATAAAGATCAAAGCAGAAATAAATAAGGAAGAATCTTAAGCAATACTAAAAGTAAATAAAATGAAGAGGGACCAGCATTGTGGTATGGCAGGTAAAGCCACCGCCTGTAGTGCAGGCATTCCATATGGGAGCCAGTGCAAGTCCTGGCTGCTCCACTTCTGGTTCCGTTCTCTGCTATGGCCTGGGAAAGCAGTAGAAGATGGCCCAAGTCCTTTAGCCCCTCAACCCATATGCGAGACCTGGAAGAAGCTCCTGGCTTTGGATCAGTGCAGCTCTGGCCATTGAGGCCATTTGGGCAGTGAACCAGTAGATGGAAGACTGCCTCCCTCTCTCTATCTCTCTGTCTCTCTCTGCCTCTACTTCTCTGTAAGTCTGCCTTTAAAATAAATAAATCAATCCTTAAAAAAATGAAGAGCTGGTTCTTTGAAAAAAATAATTTTTCTAACTAAATTAAGAGAAACCGGAAATGATTCAAATGAATAAAAGTGAAGAAGAAAAGAAATAATATCTATTCAAACAGGAAAGTAAGAATTTAAATTTATATTTCTGTTTGCAGATAACATGGTTCTGTATGGGAATAAATCTAAGAACATCATCAAGAGAATTCTGGAACTGATAAATGAATTTAGTAAAATTGACAATACAAAATGAATTCAGTAGCACTTTGGTATATAATAGTGAACTCAGTGGGAAACAAATTTTAAGGACAAACATATTCATAATTGTCACAAGAAAATAAAATGCCATGCAATAATTTTAACCCAGGATAAGAAAGCCTTCTACAATAAAACCACAAAACAATGATGAAAAAATTATATATAAAAATTGGAAAGTTTTCTCTTTATCCTAGATGGAAATAATTTGTATGATTGAAGGAGGTAAAGAAACTCTTACTTTTTTCCTAATGAATTTGTTAGATTCTTAACCAGTGCCTGTTAGCCTTGCACAAACTTTTTTAAAAATTCTTTTTATTTTTATTTTTTTTTGACAGGCAGAGTTAGTAAGAGAGAGAGAGACAGAGAGAAAGGTCTTTTTTTCATTGGTTCACCCCACAAGTGGCCACTACGGCTGGTGCATTGCAGCTGGTGCGCTGCACCGATCCGAAGCCAGGAGCCAGGTGCTTTCTCCTGGTCTCCCACGTGGGTGCAGGGCCCAAGGACCTGGGCCATCCACCACTGCACTCCCGGACCACAGCAGAGAGCTGGACTAGAAGAGGAGCCACCACGACAGAATCCAGTGCCCAACCAGGACTAGAACCCAGGGTGCCAGTGCCTCAGGCAGAGGATTAGCCAAGTGAGCCATGGTGCCAGCCCACAAACTTTTGTATCACACTACTTTCCTTCTGCTGAACTTCTATTTAGTCTCTTCTCTGTGGCTTGCAAAAATAGTATATCTGCTGTATATCAAGGATTTTTTTTA